TGTATTTGCAGGATGTTGATTATGAGGCTACCATGGCTGCAAAACTCTTGATCGCGAAGAAGATTTATTCTCAGGAGAAGAAGATTGTATTTTGTTCGGTTGCGTACCAGAACTTCTTCTCCGAGAATCAGGTTACAGTATTTGCCTATTTGGCGTGTTATCATTTTTCTTAAATCTACTAATTCAAAAGTCAAAAGTAATAAACTCCTTTATTGAACTCGTACATTGCTCGTTTCTTGCTTTAACAGGATTGGTTGAAACCGTACGCCGCCTTCTGTTTCCTGAGGGATTTTTTCGAAACATCTGACCACAGTCAATGGGGCCGTTTTTCTCTTTTTTCAAAGGAAAAGGTAGCTCGGTTATTCATACATTTGCTTCTCTTAAAATCTTACTATGGTATCAAATTCCCTTAAAACTAACACTTGCTTCCCTTCCATTTTCAGCTCGAAAAACTAGTTTCTGAAGAAAGCTTGCACTATGATATTATCCGCTTTCATTATTACATTCAATTCCATTTGCATACCCAAGTAAGCAAACATTACCATGTGGTGCTATATTTGTATTTTTAACTGCAAATTTAAAGCACTTAGTGAGTATATGTAAGTCAATAATAGTTATCGGAAGCTGCTGAGTATGCAAGAACAAAAGGAGTCGTTCTAAAAGGCGATCTTCCAATAGGAGTGGACCGTAATAGTGTGGATACTTGGGTGTACCCGAACCTGTTCCGGATGAACACCTCAACTGGGGCACCTCCCGATTATTTCGATAAAAACGGACAGAATTGGGGCTTCCCAACTTATAACTGGGAAGAAATGTCCAAAGACAATTATGGCTGGTGGCGTGCTCGTTTGACACAGGTCAACATTCTGAAATTTCTTAAAGGGTTTTCGTTAAACAAGTTTTGCAAGATTTTAGGTTAGGACTTTTAATATGTTACCAATGGCAAATTTTTGAGTAAAAAGTAATACAGGAAGTACATGAGGTTGTTTGAATGGGATTTTCTTTGGAAATTTGAAGGAAAAAACATCTTATAAGCTTGTAAGACATATTTTTCGTATATACTACCTGAATATTTTCATATTAGCATGCTTTGTGGTTTCGTGAACAGATGGCGAAGTATTTCACAGCATATAGGATCGATCATATACTCGGTTTCTTTAGAATATGGGAGCTTCCAGATCATGCAATGACGGGTCTTTGTGGGAAATTTCGGCCATCCATTCCTCTAAGCCAGGTAACAAAAAATAGTTTTTTTGGTTAACCACTTAATTTTAAAAAAAGTGTTTAAAAAGTGGTAGTTTAGTTGTTAGTGGCATTTTGTGTTTATATTAAAATGGTTTTTAAAATAAAATGATTAGAGTTGATTTGGTGTAAAAGTAGGAGAGAGATGACGTGAAGAGATGGTTAGTTAAAATTATGTGAATGGACGAATAGTGAATTGAAGTTGATGAGATGTGGAAGAATTATTGATTGATATTTAATGATATGTTAATAATATTGAGGATAGTAGAGTTGAGATAAAGTTAAGTTAGATTTTGAGTATGGATTGAGTATAGGTTGAGATGTTTTATGTACAAACATCCCCTTTGTGTTCCTTGTTCATGGTCTTATCTTTTAACACCATATTATTATTATTATTATTATTATTATTATTATTATTATTATTATTATTATTATTATTATTATTAAAATTATTATTATTATTATTATTAAAATTATTATTATTATTATTATTATTAGTTTACCAATATTATTGTAGGAAGAACTTGAAAGGGAAGGACTATGGGATTTCAATCGCTTGAGCAGACCATACATTACACAGAAACTGTTGCATGTATAGTATTTTTCATACGCTCCATAAGCCTTTCATTTTTTTTGTCCTTATTTATTATTACTATTTATTTTTTAATTTGTTGCAATTTGCACAATCTCTATTTCAGGATAAGTTTGGCTCTACATGGACCATAATTGCTTCTAACTTCTTGGATGAAAGTCAGAAAGGCCATTATGAGGTAATCTACCTTTACGAGCAACCACGGGTTTTGATAGTTGGATGATTTGTAATCGCGTTTGGAAAAAAATCAAACCTTTTAAAAATTCCTTCGATAATCTCAATCCAGCAATCTTAAGAAGACTCGAGTATGAGAGCTCGTTTAGGGGCCTTTTGCTTCGTAAATTTACAACTTCTCCTATTCCCTTATTTTTTTATGCGATTTTACTTGTAGTCCATATTTGAGTAACTATAGCCAGTATCAAACAAGTTTGTGAAAAAAAAAAAAATGCATGGAAATAAAAATAATAATACGAGAAAACATTTAACCTGATGCTACTGACTTCTTGTAATTAATGTAGTTCAAGGAAGACTGCAATACCGAAAAGAAAATAGCATCCAAGCTGAAGTCATGCCTAGAAAAGTCTATCTTGCTTGTTGAGAGTGAAGAAAAAGTTCGACGTAGCCTATTTGATCTTATTCAGGCAAGTTAAATATAGGTGAAAACAAATAATCTGAAGTTTTTACTTATCGTTTAAGCACGTTCATATCATGTTGTTATTCTTGATTGCAGAATGTAGTTCTTATTAGAGATCCAGAAGATTCTAGAAAGTTCTACCCCCGTTTCAACATAGAGGACACATCGAGTTTTGGTGATTTGGATGTGCACAAGTAAGTAGAATACCGAAGATTAACACTATGATCATTTTCTTTCCTATTCTTAGTTTCTACTTCAATGCAGTATCATTATTATATGTATTTATCATCTACCACAAAGGTATATAATCTAGTTACAAAATATAGCCCACTTGCGTTTAAATGCACAAATATATACAAACGAAATGGAAAAAGAGTTCTGTTAATTCCGTAAGATAACTGCTTTTTCTTCTACGCTATTTTT